AATTTCTGGAGCGTATCACTGATATTATTGTACGTGCTAGAAATTAAAACCCCTTTAGCTTGTGTAAAGAAATGTTTCGAAACTACGAAGTGATATCCGTCTCGTAAACTGCCGAAATAACGAAGCATCTCAATATACTTGTGACCTTTGTGCATGCTTGCATGTAAGCGTACACGTTTGCTTGTTGTTGTCTTTTTTTTCTCCACCCCTGTAATAGCCCTGTGCGAGGGCTGACAGTATCAATAAATGAAATGAAATGAACTAAAGAATGCCCTTGCGACATCCGCTTGGCTACGGTCACATTCCATTTTCCTGATACTGGCAGTCTGCTTTTTGATTGTCACCACTCCTATTTACCGCGTTTCGATGGGGTCTTCGTTGACTCCCTTGAAGCAGACACTGAAGTTGTAAGATGCGGTCGGTGCCCTCTGGCGCCTCTTGGGGATAACAGCAGAAGGGTTCGCGCATTTATAAAAAAGGCGGCGGACAGCGAAGAGGCTTCCAGACGTTTAGACAGCCACAATACCACGATCCCTCGCCGAATTCGACAGACACCACAACACGAACAAGAATCGCGAGTGCGCGAATCAAGCCAAACTTGTTCTCGTGCCGGGACTCTAAGTTAGACACAAGGCGACAAAGTCGGCGGAAACGCCGACCACCGCAATCGGCCAGCGGCGTGCTTGACCTTGGTGTTGATCAGTCGTAGCGCGGCGCTGGCCCAATAGCGGCAATCGGCGATCTCGTCGACTTTCTCGTCGAGCGTCCAACTTAGGGCCCGAATAGCACGAGGTGGAAGATTGCGATTATAACGGAAATCCAGCTCACACAGAAAATGTGTAGAGTGCTGTATCGATGCTGAAGTCAAAACCCAAACCAAAACAATGACGGTGTGGTAGTTGTGCCACAGAGACAACGAAGAGGTCGGCAAGCGCAAGCGCTGAGCTCGGGACACGCGCGGCAGATGTTACTTGAGACCAACGGAACGGCTCGGCGGCGGCATCGGTCGATGCGAACTGCAGCCTCATTCCGCTTGTAAATACCTGTAGATATATTTATTTGTATGAAACCTTACGTCTGGTTCCCACAGCGGTATGCGACTTGGTTCGCGGTGTGTGAAGTATCGCTCGTTGACGACACCGATGGGTTGAACGCGATCTTGCATCTCGTGCCACGTAGCGGATTCTTAGTACAACGTTGGATCACCCAGAAAGGTTGGTACAGTTATGCCTCGTTAATATGGACCCCGTTAATATGGACACCCCGCATTATGAACAAACTGTTCGGGGACCAATCTTTCGCCATGCAATAGACCCTTTCCGAAATTCAGTGCCATCTGGTGGTTTGTAAAGCAGTTTAGGTTTTGCCATATCAATGGCGGAAATTAACTTGTATCGGCACCGTCACTTTCGCAAGTCAACGGCACGCGAGAAATTATTCAGTATGAGGTCTTTCTCAATCACTTTTATTTCGATGGTGACCAAGAACCTGCGTTCGGAACAAAGCTCCGACCCACTCAGATGCCTCGAGAAAATTCTATACACCAAAGTGCTTTAAAGCCGATTGTGTGCCGCCCACAGATTGACTGAATCTGAGTTATTAGAAATGAACGCTTACGTAACTCTTGTGTTCCATTCCTACGTCACGTCGTACTCAACCCCGAATGTACAGACCTCGCAAAATCCGCTTAGGAGCATCTTCAACGTCTTCCTTTATCCGTCACTAGAAGGCCGCCATTGGTATGGCACAGATGCCGTTCCACAGATGATGATAGTGATCAAAGTGGCCAGTCTGAATTTCGGAAACGGTCTATTCTGCCCCGTTAATATGGATGCTCGCAGTACGGACTACAGGCAGTTATTTTGTGGACGAAATGGGAAAATAGCAGCATTTTTGTATCGTTATTACAAATGTTATACCCCAATTAAAAAAAGAAAAGAAAAATAAAGATATTTACAATTCTCTTTAACGCCGAGTCAGAGCGCAACCATTGAGGAGGAGGAGGAGGAGGGTACGAGGAGAGAGATTGCCTTTCCTCCCCCTACCCTTCTCCTCTCCTGCTCGCCTCCCATTTAGCGGGAAATGTTCGCTATATTTCCCTCTAAATTTAACAAAAATTTCAACGCTAAATTTAGCAGGGAAATATTCCCGAAGCATTTAGCGGGAAAACTCTCGCTAAATTTTGCGAAAAAATTGCTCCGCTAAATTTAGTGGAAACATTCCCCTTCTAAACTTAGCGGAAAAAAGTCCCCGCTAAATTTATGGGAAAACTTTTCCCGTAAATTTGGCGGGACGATTTTCCCGCCAACTTTAGCGAGGAAACGCCTATAAAGCAACGCGCGGTTACGTCGACGCGGATGCCGCTCGACCCAGAAACGGGCGCTTAAGAGCTGCGCTTTTTTGAAGAAAAAAAAAAAAAAGGGGGGGGGGGAGTTTAAAAACGCCCCTATGATATAAGTTGTGGGGATTCTTCTGGTCTCCCATCCCTGATGGCTGTGATAACGGCCGCGGGTCGGAACGCTCGGCCTTCTTCGCCGTGAGCTCCGACCTGTTCGTAAGGCGGAGGGCCGCCTGGCTTGGGGGCTCTCCTCTCACTCTCTCCCGGGGGGACCTCTTCCGTCCCCCCGCTCGCATGCGAATCACTGCCGACAGGCGAGGAGGTTTCGCCTCTTGTTTTCCCGCTTTCGGGAAAGGGACTCGTCCGGGTGTCCGCGAAAGAGATAGGACGTGTGTCGGCGACTTCTCCGATGCTTCCCCGGTCTTGGCTCTCCGGAACCCCGCGTCTGGCCAGGTAAGGACCTTTTCTTACCTTGGAAGGCGCGGGGGGGCATTTTGGATGGGGACATTGTAGTTCGTTTTAAGAGTATTCTAATAAATGCTCTTGGACTCTGTCCTTACTCTGGTACGTGTGTCTTCTCTTCCGCTATATTCGAGAGAGTGAGACAAGGTAGACGATCACTGGCACCGACGGAGGTAATTAATCGAACCGACCCGCGGTAATGTATACCTAAACGTCGCCTACATTGCCGCGGAGATGTGGGGACCGCGGGCTACTAGGTTTGACGTCTCCTTTGAGATATCGCCGCTGTTGAGATAACCCTTTGGTTACTCTATCGGTACCTGTGTTAGTTGGTAGCTAGCAACATCCCACGAAGTGCACAGAGGAGGTCACAGTGTGCCCCCCGATAATCGTTGCCGGCCTTGCCATAAAAACTGCGCACCAAATGGTGGCTTTTTTTTTTTCTTGGCGTAAAGGGGGTTATTCTAGCTTGCAGTCTATAGACCGTTCCATTAGGGTCATAGCAGAGAGGGTAAAATGAGAAAAAATGCCCTCCCCCTCTCGCCCGTATGTCGTCTGCTCCGCCGAGTGGGCAGTACCTAGCATCCGGCTGGCGTACAAACTCTGTTTAAAATCGCGTCAATTTCGGAATTTCAAGCGAAGATGCGCAGATTTTGGTATGCCAGTTATCGTGTATTACTATGCTAGATAAAAAAGACTAACAGAGTCCAATTGCGCTGTTATCTGCGTGCAAAGAAATAAAAAAATAGGGAAAACAATGTCAGACTGGCCGGTCTCTCCGGCGAAAAGTGAATCCGGTGGCTGTACCTTTTTTACTATACAAAGTTCGTACTGGTGTAGGCCTTTAGCGACCATGAGTGGAAGTCTGAAATAATAAATAAAAACGTGCTCTCCTGCCGCAATACACGCAGTAGTTGAGGGTAGTACTGCCGGCTGACTCAACTGCTATTTAAGTCACGGAAAAAAGATATGTCAGTTGATCATTTACCGAAGTAGAACAATAGAGAGCTCTAGGCTGATTTCAGAGTAGCCATAACTATTCTAAGAACGCGAACCACTTCACAACGGCAGCCACGAGCGAGAGTTCGGTGTTCCGTACAGCCCGCCGATACAGCCCAAAGATGGAGAATGGCAACCTCCCGTTTTGTCGTCTGCTAGCGGAGTCGGGCGCGTGCCCTCTCTCTCGTTTTACCCCGCCGAACCCGCTGAATTTCCCGGATGTATGGAGAGGGCGCTGCTGTCGAACAAAATGGTGCCGCCCAGAGAGCGCTAAATGGAATGGTCTATTGTTGATTGTGATCGTGACGTGGTTATCCAGGAGCTTGGGGAAAAACGGGACGGACAACAGCTTTCTGTTGCGTGTACCGTTCCGACCTCCCCGACCTCTCTCTCCCCCCCCCCCCCCCCCCCCCCCCCATTTTCTGGGTTACCATGCATGCCAGTATTGAATCGATAGCCTGCACACTCACTTTAATTTCAATAATTGAAATCGCGTATGACCTACAGCCGGGAACAAAGAAGAATATGATAAAAAGCAGCTAGGCGCCCTCACTGTAGACCTCGTCATTGTTTGGGGAATGGGGAAGAAGCTCTCGATCCACAAAGTTATATTTCTGCTGTAAGGCTATGACGGGGGAGGATGGAATTCTTGTCTTTGAACTGGTTCAGAGCGACATCCCCGTAAGATCAGAGGATTGTCATTGGCGTAAAAGGTAAGGCCGAACGCTTCTCTGGGTATTTGGAAGGGACAGTAGACGATGTGAGTAGACGAGAGACCAATCGTTATCTGACGTATATAGCTCATCACGGCTTGGAAACAGGTCTCGCTTACCTTGAGAAGGAAGGACGGAAAACGCGCACTTCAAGTAGCGGACATTTTTGATCTCTGGACACAAAAGTAGGCTCGAAAGTGTCAATAAAAACCCACATCTTGCTCATTTTTTTAGTTAAATAATCCATGTATCTCTTGTTGTTGCCACGGTTAATATGTGTGTTTTGACAGTGATTCGTTATTATGGACACACTCACACGGAGGATTTTTCTGGGGAACGCAGGCGTCCATACTAACGTAACATGACTGGCACGCGGGCAGACAGTTGCTGAAAGTGCGATACTCGGTCCTGAAAGAACAAATTCACTAGGTTTTTTTAGGTGATGTGTGCCCTCGTGCCAGAAGCGAAAAGAGCCGAGAGGCACTGACCAGGTCGGCGCTGATCTCGCATCGGTCATCCAGGTCCTTCTGGAGCTGAGCTAGCTGGGACTCCTGCTCCCTGAGACGCTCCTCCTGCGGACAAAGAGAGTGTGAACTCATACACCACTCACAAACCCACGAAACTTCAAAGGATTCGGCAAATTTTACATAAAGGCACAACGACAAAATAAGGCTCAAAAGAAGCGAAAGCCTCGTGGGGGGGACCGAGTCAACTGAGAAATTATTACGCCACTTTTCAAATAGGCATATCGGGCTGATGCGCAGACTCGTACATAACTCATTACACGTAATCCAATTACTTGCAATCAATTACTTTTTGGGGTAATTTTCTAATCGTTTGATTAATTTTATCATAAGATGATCACCAGAGTAATCTGATTACCTTTGAAAGTACTAAAATTACTTGTGACCATCACTATTTTTCCCTCTCCTTTTGAATGGCGTTCTTTGTTTCTGCAGGTTTTCTACCGCGGCATCCCCAAACCATGTAAGCGACGGGAGGATAGTTTACCGAAACTGGAGGACTGAGAAGATAATGAGCTTGTAATCCGGTGATTACTAATCAAAAATGGACAGTAAGAAAAGCCCGTTTTCAAGATTCCTAATCAATAATGGACAGCACGAAAAGCCAGTTTTCAAACCGGCTGAAAAATCTATCGGTTAGCTAGGAAACCTGACGTATTCAAAAATGGTTAGTTTTTTAATTAACTGTCAATTACTTTTCATCTCGAGTATTCAGGTAATCTGATTGAATACTTCTAAACCAATTGTAATTGTAATCTATTAATTTTCTCGAGTAACGCGTACAAGACAGCTGCCGCGCCAACTGCAATTTGAAACTCAGCGACAACGTGATTGTGATATATTGCCGCGTACGAGGCCCAGAGGGAACGCACGAGGCTCCCACGCAGGCGCCCGGGGATCGATGCCCGCCTTTGAGATAACGTCTATCAATTGTTTCTACTCATTTTTTCCAGAGGTTTCGCGTTTACTCTTACCCCAAATATTCGACGCTCGCACATTCCAGGCCAAATATTACAGATAACCTAGTCTTATAGATAATGATTCCTAATGGCCTCGCCAAGAAAGAAACGAAGGGACGAAAACGCTTTCTCCACAGAAACACAAAAGGACAGTGAACGCCAATAAAATTTTCTTTTAGGATTTTTATCGTTTTTTAACGGCATTTTTTTGCATGTACTACCGTCGGGGACAATAAAAACGTCGCATGTAAGAAATACCATTTCGTTCATTCATGCAACTAACACGCAATAAACGTGTTCACAAGCAAAATTATTAAAAAGAAGCTAGTTCGGCGTTCCAAATATAATGACTGTTAAAGTAGCGCGTTGGACCCGGTTCAAAACAAATCTTAAGCAACGTAAAAAAACGCTCATGCTAAAACACACACACACAAAACACAAACACACACACACACAAACAAACAAAGAAAACGAAATTTATGTATGGTTCACGCCAGGCACATAGCTAGGATTTTGTTTCGGGGGGGGGGGGGGGGGGGGGGGCATCACAAAATGCTGTATGAGGGAGAGGGGCGAGAGGAGGTTTCAGCAAAACGGAAGATTTCGGGGAAGGGGGAGGGGGGGGGGGGGGCAGGACCCGGGCTCCATGGGCCGCCGCCGCCGCCGCCGCCGCCGCCGCCGCCGCCGCCGCCGCCGCCGCCGCCGCCGCCCCCCCCCCCCCCCCCCCCCCCACCCCCCTTGCTTCGTGCTTGGCTCACGCGCAACAACCTCTTCATCTACAAGGCAATCAAACCCAAAACCAGGCCACTCCGCTCCTTGGCCAACCGACTCCCAGGATGCAACGTGCGCAGTGTTGCGCGCAGGAATTTATGCAAGTAGTCTACTGGATTCAAATCCCAGAGAAAACGGCCCTTGGGAAATGAAGATTGTTGTCGAAATTTCGATGAGGCGCCTAATTTAGATCGGAACATGATAGAAACAAGAATTGCTCTTCTTTTTATTTCTTCTTGATATTTTCAGGTACAGAACTCGCTTTTTCGACGCGTTCTTTTGAATATCAGGGGAAGAAAATGAATATATAACCACGTAAATAACAACGTTTCGTTGCACCTTGTCGTTATTAAATGTTCGATTTGTTCTTCTTCACTGCACTTCTGTCCTAGGGTTTACCCAGCCGATCCGAGAGAAACTGCTTACGAGATCCCCCGAACTCACTCGGTAGATACTTGGAATGAAGACAGTGCTGGTAAGAGTGATATAAATATAGCGAATGTCATTTTCAGTGCATGCTATTAAATTTTTCCGTGCGACAGCGCACAAATGACATCCGGAGATAATCTCATTCGCCGCAAACTACATTAATGTCCTCGTGCATGACCGAAAAGTGTCGTCATCTGCGGTATGTCACAGCCCTTCGGTGACATCACGAACGAATTGTGTGAAGTTTTCGGTTTCTTTCCACGTTCTCCAAATGAACTGCGGCGACAGCCGAGGTGCTGTTCACCTAACGATGACGTCATGTGAATCAGTGTCAAGGTGTTGTCTTTGTACTTAATCCATGTCGGAAGGTCGAAAAGGGCTTACTCACGTTTGTAAAAGGAAATAAAATGAACGTTTAATTCTTAATACGGTTTGGGGTGGCCAGCAAGGCTTACGGGTTCCACACGTTCGCAAACACAGTGCCTCTGTAATATCTCGTGATATCACTGATATCACGAGATATCAGTGATATCACTGATATCTCGTGATATCTCTCGAGATATCACTCTCAGAGATATTGCCGCGCGCGCAGCTGGCCAAGTAGGCAGCGCGCGCGTGGCCTAACGGTTATCGCGCGTGCTTTCCACGCTGAAAGCCAGGGTTCGATTCCTGGCCGCGGAGGCGCATTTTTGTTGACTCTGTAAAGTAATGTTCTGGTAAATTCGAGAACCATGTTGCTTGTTCGAGGTCAGAATGTTCTACGCGCCGAACCTTCTACGCCGAACGATCCAGAAACCCACGAGGGTACATAAGCGATTCCGCAAGGCGAACGGAGTCAGTTTCGCACCAGCGTTCGACTCTGCTGCTACGCCGACTTGAACGCCCGCGACGCTCTATTATTATCTTTTGTACTCGTTTATTTTTGGCACAAGTTCGCCACATTAAACGTTTATTTCTTTCTGTTTATTTCCTGTTTTTTTTTTTTTGGTCACCACCCGTGACATTTTGGTGGAGGTGCGGGGTACCGCATGCCCCTGCCGCGTACCCCTCCGAGGGCCCGCAGTGCAAGTCCGACGCCTAGCCCACGAAGAACCGACGAAAGCACTTCCGAGATCCGGTTCAGTCGTCGCACCCAAGGTCTACACCCGGAATTCGAACCTCTACCGTCCAAGACTAAGCAGCCAACGAGGCCAACGATGGACAGCCAGTCGTCCCAGAACCCGTCCACCGCCAGCGTCGTATACCTGCCCGTCGCCCCACGCAACCCGACGCCGTTCTATGGTGAGGCCCATGAGGATGTGGAGGATTGGCTACAGCATTACGAACGAGTGGCGCGCCATAACCAGTGGACACCAGAGCAGAGCCTTCAGAACGTCTACTTCGCTCTGGAAGGCACGGCGCGCACCTGGTTCGAGAACCACGAAGCGTCGATTTCTACGTGGGAAGAGTTCCAGGCCGAGCTGCGACGCACCTTTGCCAACCAGCAGCGACGACAGCGTGCCGAAGAACTCCTCCAAGCAAGACACCAAGGGCCAAACGAGAGCGTGACAAGCTTCGTCGAAGACGTTCTCCGCCTCATGAACCGCGCCGACCCAAACGCTCCCGAAGAGAAAACGTTGCGGGTCCTAATGCGCGGCGTCAAAGAAAACATCTTCGGGGGCCTCGTGCGGAGCCCGCCTACGACTGTCCAGGGTTTCATTACTGAGGCCACCAACATCGAACGTGCCCTTCACGCACGGGCCTCACACTACCAGAGACTTCCCGGCTTCGCTGCCCTCTCGCCATCCAGCTGCAGCATCCCGGACATCCGCGACATCATCCGGGACGTCGTCCGGGAAGAACTCAGGAAGCTGCTGCCTGCTGCCAACCAGCCGGCTTCGCTGTCGATAGCCGAAGTGGTGCGCGAAGAAGTTCAGCGCGCAATTCAACCGGAGACTCCTGCCAGCGTGGCCGCAGCCGATGAGCCGGCGCTGACCTACGCCGCAGTGGCCCGAGGACCGTCGCCAGCTGCTCAACACTACCCGGTGGCGCCACGACGAGACCCATCAACGCAGGCGTACCCCCGACGCAACGACGAAGTACGTCAGTACGACCGCCGAGAACAGCAGGCGCCAAGGAAAACCGACGTGTGGAGGACAGCGGATCGACGACCCATCTGCTACCACTGCGGGGAGGCCGACCATATCTACCGTCGTTGTTCCTACCGGCAAATGGGCCTGCGTGGGTTCCACCCGAACGACCCACGCCCGAGGTACGGCGAACGCCCTCGCGACATCGAGGAGTACCTCCGACGTTCGCCCTCCCCAGTGTCGTCTCTCCGCCGTGAAGCCCGCTCCCCATCGCCACGACGTTCAGCCTCCCCAGCGCCACGATCCCGCCGAGAGAGCCTGTCTCCCCGGCGTCGTCGGGAAAACTGAGTGCGGCAACGCCTGGAGGTGACGTTGCCAAAAACGACGGAAGCAAACAGCCTCCAAGAACTCCGGAGCGCTCCCACTCTCTCGACGCCCCGCATTGCACCGACGCGCCTGCAACGGTGTCCAACAACCTAAACGTTGTTATTGATGGCCAAAACGCATCGGCACTCGTTGACACCGGGGCAGACTACTCAGTATTGAGTGGGAGGCTCTCTCGCCACCTTCGAAAAGTCACGACGCCGTGGGATGGACCGCAGATACGAACCGCCGGAGGACACCTCATCACGCCTGTCGGAAGGTGCACCGCTCGCGTCGAAATTCACGGCGAGACGTGTCCTGTGAAATTCGTCATTCTACAAGACTGTTCCAGAGACGTCATTCTCGGCATGGATTTTTTGTGTGAATACGGCGCCGTCATCGACCTTGGAGAAAACAGATTGACGCTGCGGACACCTGTTCCGCCTTTAGAGAAACT